TTAAGTAAATTTTTGACATGTAACTACCCTGTTCAATTGTATTGTTCATTTTCAGCCTCGGTGGCAACAAAATATCCTCAAGAAGCAAGACAAGAGATTATTAAATCTATTCAATTGTGGTTGGTGCAATCAACGTCTCGCTTAAAAAGGTAAAGTGCAATACTATTGTATTTATGTGTCCAAATTATGTATATCTATTACAGAGCTCAACATTAAAACATTTTTCAAAGGTTTTACAAAATATCTTTGAAATATGTTCTACAATATTTAAAAAAATGTTTTTAAAACATTTCCTTGTTGGTTGGGTACAATTCCAACTTTTAACACTCTAGTAAATTTCAAACTATTTCTAGAGATGACGTCGGAACGATACAACAATGTTGAGCTCCCAAAACTTAGTGATGATATGGGACAACCTCTCCATTTCATTACGAAAGAGGAAGCTGATGATATAGGAACGACAAAAGCTGCGTTGAATATACCAAGCCAGCAGATGCTTTTCTACGATTCGTACACGAACATTATTATACAGATAATACCTTCACGTACGCTGAATCGTTCTTGAACATCACGCCACCCCTCTACATACCCGATGTAGTCACTACATATGTTAATTCATATGTAAAAAATGTTGGTGCCTAGTATGGACGCCTTCATATATTTGAACACACCCGGGCTTGACTATGAATCACAGAATGTGAATTTTGTTTATTTTAGAATTTATTATTTTCGTTTTTACAAAAACACAGCCCCACAAATTCCGCTGGAAGCTGCAGACGTCGCCATCGCTCAACTAAACAGCGACGATTCCGAGGTGGAAGATTTAGAAAATAACTGCGATTGGGTTCCCAAACCAAGAAGCAGAAGACGAGATGGATACAGAAGAGGAAGAAGGTGGAAACGGGGAAGAAGAGGTCAGCAAAAGCTCTAAAGGTAAAAATATAAAACAGAAAAACAATAAAGAAAAAAAACGTCCCTTGTGGAAAGAACAACATTTTGTACCACCAAACACAGAGTTTTTGGATAAACCGATTGACATTTCGGAGAGTAGCTCAAATACACCGTTTGAATATTTCATGCGGTATTTTCCCATCAATATTTTTTCTGAGTTAGCATAATAATAAAAGACCTTGGCATTAGTCGGAATCGCTTTGAATCTTTGAGAAATAATCTTCATATTACAGATGAAAATAAAGACAAAAATGAGAACGATAAATTGTGGAAAGTCCGACCGCTAATTGACAGCTTTGATAAAAGATGTGAAGAATTAGAATTAGAAGAAAATATCTGTATTGATGAAACAATTGTTCCTTTCAAAGGGCAGTTTTCTATAAAGCAATATATCCGCGGTAAGCCAAATCCTTGGGGTGTAAAGATCTTCAACTTACGTGGTCAGTCAGGTATTATTTACCGGTCTGTTGTTTATCAAGGTTCCACTACACTTTGTGATAACAGTGACAAAGGAATAGGCGCTACAGCCAACCTGGTACTTCATTTATCAGATAGATTACCAAACCACAAAGGCTATAAATTATATTTTGATAATTATTTCAATTCTGTTGGCTTGCTAAGGTAATTGCTGGATAACGGTATATTTGCAGCAGGTACAATCTGGGCTAACCGCATGGATCACTGTACATTAAGACCCGAAAAAGAATTGAAAAAATGGAACGGGGAATCTCAGAACACAAAATAACTGAAGATAACAAGATAGCAGCTGTGCGATGGTTTGACAACAAAGTGGTAAATATGGCGTCAAATTTTGCAGCCATTGAGCCCACTGACACAGTAAAAAGATGGGGCAAAAAACAAAAAGCTTACGTACAAATCCAACGCCCATTGGTCATCGCACTTTATAACAAAAGCATGGGAGGTGTAGACAAGAGTGGCTTCTTAGTATCACTGTACCGAACTTTTATTAGGTCCAGAAAATGGACGTTGAGAGTCATATTCCATTATTTTAAGGCATCCGTCTGTAATTCATGGCTGGAGTATCGTAGGGATAGAAGCATGGGGAAGTTCGTGACGGAATGGATCTACTAGAATTTACTTTCAATATAGCAGAAGCTCTATCTTTTTTTAAAGCAGCAAGGAAAATACCACAACGTGGAAGGCCGAGCAAATCACCAAGCACTTCACCAAGACTCTCCCATTCCTGACAATACTGCAAACAGTTCAAAAAGATGTAGGCAGATGAGTCCAGTGCCAGATGTACGTTATGACCAATACGCCCATTGGCCTATTCCTACTCATGGGCATGAGCAACGCTGCAGCTTAGAGGAATGCCATGGAAGATCTCGCACTATGTGTGAAAAATGTAAAATATTTTTGTGCCTAAATAAAAAAAACAATTGCGTCATGAAATATCATGTAAAATAAATAACTAATAAAGAACTGGGAATTTGATTTTTTCATAGCGTAATAACCTAGTGGTGACATGCCACCACTTCCTGGTTTGACTATGGAGGACAACCAAAAAGTTTGTTAAACTTTTGGTATATTTGAGTCTAAAGTAACACCAAAATAGCCTAAAAAAAATTTTACTTTGATTTAAAAAAAACCAGGGCCGAAAGGGCTAAGCCCACCAGCGTATTCTCATATACAGGTAGTAGACGTTGACTACCTATTTTATGGAAAGTGCACTTTTGCAGTTTTAGATAACGCTTATGCCTACTAGCCTCATTGAGTACGTATACTTCATCATGGCTGGTAGGCAAAATCAATTTTTTCTTCCATTTTATCCAAAATTTAATAGATGCAATTTCAGATCAAGAAATTGAAGTTGTTTGCGGAGATATGCAGACCGAGAGAGGTAAATATATCCGTATATTATACGGTTTAACCGTATATTTTTATAGAAAGGGAACTTCGCAACCAAATTATGGCGAAATATAAATCAGTAAGTACTTTACATGAATCATGACATATTGTTAATTTTCTATAATATAGGAGAATGTAGCGATAATTCGCGGTTTGGGGATAATCCCCTCAACAATTAAAATGGAAGAAGGGAGGCACAAAGATATGTGGTTCCAGGTCTATAAAGACCTGGACCTATACAATACTTTTTGGATATTTTATGTAAGTAGCTAACCGCTTTAATAATGTCACGCTTCAATCTGTATTTATTCTTGCAGATCTAAATAAATACCTAATTTTGTTTTTGTTTTTCCTATACAGTCCTACACATGATTACCAGCATAATAAAAAAATAAAGGCAAATAAATAAATAAATAAATGGACGTTCTAGTTAATTCCTTACCTAAAATAATTTTGTTTTGTTTTGTTCCAACCCTGGATATGATAATAAATTAACTCGCCCCTAAGAATAGAATAAGTGCTTTAGCGATGATATGCTTCTGTAATGCAAGCAAGGAGCATCACGTCATCGTATGCAATAGGTATCAATCCATATAATATCTACCCATTTGCTAATCGGTTTGGTGTCTCTGAACCCAGAAATGCAACTTAGTTTTGATTTCTCTGTGAACTCTTTCATAATTACAACAATCGAACGGCCGGCCTCACAAGACAAGTTCTAACTTTTACCTTAGTTTAGACAGATGGGGATAAAATAGTATTTATTATCAGCAAAGTAGTTTCTAAATTCATAACATTCGGGGATGTTATGGTGTTATTCTACATTAATAGTTTGCATGGATCAGGCTACATCTTCATTATTCAAACCACTCAATCGACCGGTTGCAGGAAATTATTTTCAAATCTGAGTTTAAACAAGAATTTTAACATTTGATTGGCTGCATACTACAGTATAAGGTTAATCAAATGTCTAACACCGGATTAAACAATAATCCTGGATTATTTATTATTTGTGCAACTGGCCGAATATGCTTTATTTAGATTAAGGGAAATTAATCCTAAAGTGCTGCTTAAAGGTGATACCTATTAAGATGCATCATATTCGGTAAAAATCCCTTTCTTGATGTTTTAAAGCCTCATACATCCATCACAGTCACCATCCTGGTGTCGAAAGAAAACTGAATATTGGTTTCCAAACTAGTCTTGGTGGTACGATCAATGTCGGAAGTTTCAAAAACTAGAATGCATGATTTTCTATTATGCATCATCAGATGTCATCTCATACAGGAGAGTATCGGAACCTACCTATGTACAGCAATTTCAACCGGTCGTCGCTAAGTTTTCGGTTACAGTTGAAAATCGTACATTCTAGTTTTCGAAATGTCCAAAATGAGCAGCCCATAATAATAATAATTATAATAAGTTAGGATATTATGGCCATAATTTTGGGGCTGGGAGCCATCCCCCGATCCACTTTAATTGAAAGCGGAGTATATAGGGGGCTCAGGTTCGCCCTTTTTATGGATCTGGAATTAGATCGTGCTTCTTGGATTATCTATGTTAGTAGCTAAATGCTCTAGTAATGTTACGTTTCGTTATTCTTTCAGATATAAATAAATATCTAATTCTTCGTTGTGTTGACAATAAATGTTTTTGTATAGGTAATGAGGCCCCCCTTTAAAAATTTCACATAAACATTGTTTAATACCAAAGATATTTAATACCAAAAGATATTAAACAGAGGAACAAGGAAGCTGCGGCAAATACATCGCTGTTCGCAATAGTATAATTAGAACTAGGTTACAGTTATTACATTATCATTATTCATAAGGTAACAATTTATTAAGAGTTGTGAAACGCAAGCCAGCAATCTGGCCGCGAAATACTACAAAGGCATCAAGTTTCAATGGAAAAAGGGTTACTATAATTGCATACGTAAAATGCAACGTATGCCAACTAATGCAATAAGAAATAAGGACACTATGTCAAACAAACACAAATACGTCATAATTAATTGTATATAAAACTGTAAATAATACTCAATAAATCACTATCGATTTGAATGTCGTTTAGTCGTTGGGGTTGCGAGGTTTCCAGTCTTCAATTTGTACAAGTGACGGTGTACAGCCTCATCTAGCAACCCCCCTTCAAGCAGTCTTCTATTAGCCAGAAGATTGTTCATGGTCCTTCGAGCCAACACCAGCGGCAAGGAAGATACAGAAGCTCCAGGGCAACACGACCAGCGGCAGAGAGAACGTAGCAGCAGAAGAAGCAACCCGAAAGCTGTAAGGATTTACGCCCCTCACAGCAACAACATAACCACCATCGAATAGTCGGGTAAGAAGATTTAAAACAAATAAAGGCCGCAAGAAGCCACACCAACGCTGCACGAAAAAACACCGTTTCAAGAAGACGGAAACATGCCGCAGGAGCAAAAGGACGCACGGATCTGCAACGCCCGAAGGAAAATAAATTCCTGGCGGCAACAAAGAAACTGCTAGCTGATTACCAAGGTGAGGAATCAGATAATAAGCAAAAAATTTTAGGGAACGAGGAAAATGGAGCCAATGAACACCCTCGCCACCCAACAGCAGGAGCTGGGCCATCAGATGGGAAAACTGTTGGCCAACCTGAAAAAAGATCCAGCGGATAGAAAGACAGCGAATTACATAGCAGACCGGCGCCGTCAGTTACAAGGATACATTTCGGCTGTGAAGATAAACCACCAGAAGATAGTGGAATTAAAAGAACCACAGCACGAGTACCACAAGACCAACTTCATAGGGCAGTTGGAAGACGTTCACCTCAAGGCCAGCGACTACCTGGACAAGATAGAAAGGTCGATAAAAACAGGGGGAGAACACGAAAAACGCGACACCGCACAGGAGATGCGGATTAGGAAACAGGAGGTTCGTATCACTCAGATCGAACAATTATTATTTCAGGTGGAGGACGAACTCAAAAAGCAATCACGGAATAGCAGCCGAATAAAGGTGCTATGTGATAGGGCCGAAAAATGTTGGGACAGAATAGGCGAGGATGAAATAGAAATAAGGGCCAACGAAATAGAGTTCGTTCATGAATACTTTGCCACCGAGAGATACGTAGAAGCACAAAGGCGATACGATGCTTTCCAGGAGCAAATCGCCAATATGGAAATGCAGAATTCGAGCAGTAAGATAAAACTGCCGATAATCAAGATCCCCATCTTCAGGACCGGGTATGAGAATTGGACAGCATTTCATGACCTGTTTCAGAAATTAATTCACTCCAACGACGCGTTATCCAGCACAGAAAAAATGCACTATTTAAAAAGTCATGTGGATGGAGAAGCTGCCAGGTTGATTCAACATCTACACATCAGCGAGAGGAATTACGAAACAGCATGGGACATAATAACCAAGCGGTACCACAACACGAGACTAATTACATCAAAATTACTGGACAAAATACTCGACTTCCCGGTGAGCCATAAAGAAGATGCACATCAAGTGAGGATGCTTCACGAAGGGATCAACAACATCGGACATGATACAACCTCATGGGGTCCAATAATAACAAAACTTATTTCCAGAAAATGGGACACAGAAACTAACAGGATATTCGAGCAGTCTCTCAAAAATCCAACCGAGATGCCGGCACTAGAGGAAGTGATGGAGTTCATGAAGTCAAGATTCCAATCTCTGGAGGCGTTAGCAATGAAGAGAGGAGATCAACCACCATCATCATACAAGCCTAACTGGGTCGGAAATAAGCAACCAAACTGCACATACTGTAAGGAACAACACCAAATCGAAATGTGCCCAAAATTCGGCAAACTATCCGTTGCCGAAAGAATCAAAATTGTAAAAGAGCAACAGTTATGCTTCAAGTGCATACGCCATAGCTGCAATACGAAATGTTACTCGCTTAAAAACTGTTCTACATGCAGGTACCCTCACCACTCGCTACTACACCAAACCTCAAGGACAGCTCCAGCCACAAGAGGAAGCCAAGCAATGTCCCACGCATCTACAGCAGCCAAAGAAATGGAAATCAAGAAAGAAGATCAACAAGTCCTCTTGGCAACAGCAATAGTACAGGCCCAAGACATCCTGGGACAACGCCATCTACTACGAGCACTGGTAGACCCAGGATCCCAAGCGTCATTCATCACCGAGCAAGCAGCTCAGCAACTGATGGTACCCAGGCAGAAAACAAGGGCAATGGTATCTGGATTGGGAGAAGGAAGTCCGACCAACGCAAGAGCAAAAGTGACGGTACATCTCCACCCTCGTCAGTCTAGCAAATACACACTGACAACAGACCTCATCGTGTTACCGAAAATAACTGGGATGTTACCAATGAAGTCAATGGAATTCGATTTGGAACCATGGCAGACCAAGATCCTAGCAGACCCAACCCTCAACATCACAGGTCCAATACATGTGCTACTGGGAGCCCAAGACTACGCCAAAATCATACTAAACGGTGTTACAAAAACGGCGTCTGCATTGCTAGGACAGCAGACCGAATTGGAATGGATAGTGTCCGATCAAGTCATGTATCCAGAGAAAAAAGGCACACCAGTCATCGGGATGGTTTCAACAATGGAAGAAGAAAGAAACCTGTCAAAATACTGGGAAATGGAGGAAGTCGAGGTGCCAAACCGCTCCAAAGAAGAAGACGTACAATGTGAGAAACATTATATGGCCACCACCACAAGAGGGCGAGATGGAAGGTATACAGTGAGGATACCATTTAAAGAAGCGCCTACCATGGTTAACAGTTCCCGTTCGCTAGCAGTAGCTCGACTGCACCAATTGGAAAAGAAGCTAGAAAAGGAGCATCGAGTACGCGAGCAGTACAAAGCGTTCCTTCAGGAGTACATAGACCTGGGCCACATGAAACTAGTACCCCCCAAGGGAGAAGGAAGATACTACATTCCACATCAACCAGTCATCAAGGAAGCAAGTGCCACAACAAAGTTAAGAGTCGTGTTTGACGCGTCCGCAACCACACGGTCACGAAAGAGCCTCAATCAAACCATGCACGTGGGACCAAGACTGCAAGAAGAATTGGCAGACATCCTGGTGAGATGGAGAAAACACCCGGTAGCGTTCACAGCAGACATACAAAAAATGTATCGTCAAATAAACATACATGAGGACGATCAACCACTGCAGACCATACTCTGGAGATTCAATCAGCATCAACCCATACAAGAATACCAGCTAACCACAGTTACATATGGGACAACTGCAGCACCTTATTTGGCAACACGCACCCTACAACAACTCGCGAAGGACGAAGAAAAAGAATACCCTAACGCATCAAGGGTTGCGTTAACCGACTTCTATGTGGACGATGTGCTAACAGGGGCCCAAACCCTCGAGGAAGCCAACCAACTACAACAAGAGCTAACAGCCATGCTAGACAAAGGAGGATTCAAGCTACACAAATGGTCAACGAACAAACTACAAATGCTACAATCAATCCCTGACGAATTAAGAGATCCATCCGTATCACAATTCAAGGACGAAGAAATGAAGAAGTCATTAGGGATACTGTGGATACCACATCAAGACGTGTTCACATTTAAGATAGAAGAAGGCAATCCCGCAACGACCAAGCGTGGTATATTATCAGCAGTAGCAAAAATATTCGATCCATTAGGATGGTTGGCACCCGTAACCATAATGGCAAAGCTGCTCATCCAACGATTATGGTTAACAAACGCTTCATGGGACGAAAACATACCGGAAAGTTTAAGGATGGAATGGTTGAAGTTGACCTCCGACATTGGCTCAGTCGAGGAAATTCAGATCCCAAGATGGATACATACCAAGAACGACAACATAAAAATCAACGACATAGTACTCGTCAAAGATGACAACCTCAGCCCAGGAAAATGGCCGCTAGCAAAGGTGATAGCGACACATCCAGCAGAAGATAATATAGTGCGAGTAGTAACAACCCAAAAGGCAGACGGGAAAACGTCCAAAAAAGCAATACATCAACTAGTCCCCCTACACTAAGAAGATGCACAGAAAAAATCAGCCGCAGGAAACAACCAAGAGATGAAGAGTTTCAGCATAAAAGCAATTGTTGTCACCATACTAATGATGATGATAGGCACTACAGTGGTAGACGCATCCAAACCCAGGGTTTTACATAGAACACATGGGAGATGGAAGGATTGAACGAGGAATTTTCCGGATCGATATTCAATACAAGAAAACACGGATAAATGAAGACATCCACGCAACGCTGCAATCAATTACACATTTCAAGGAGCTATGCAACAAGACAGCAGAAATAGCAGGAAATTCACACTGTACCGAATTAGTGCAACTTCTCGAGGATCACGAAAATGAAATACAATGGTTAAAGGAAGAAATAGGCAGCACGATGGTTGAACGAAGGAAGCGAGGAATATTGGGGGACATACTTACAGCAGTATTCGGAGTCAACGATGAAGTATATAAGGACATCGCCTCACTGAACAAAAATTAGCAAGAAATTATCAGAAATGCGGACAGACAGACGAAGATTATGTTATCAGCACTATCAGCCTTGAACGAAACCGAGACAAAGATTGAGAAGCAGTTACAAAGATTCCACCGAAAGCTAAATGAAGGAATTCAAATGATAAATCAAATGAGCAAATGGTACAGAACAGTCGACGAGAACAGACTAAATTTACAAGTGCTAAGTATATACACCATCACGGTAACCTTAGCAAACGAAGTCCAGCATCACTACAAAAAGGTAATCAATATCAACAACGGAAGAGGAAGTCTTCACGAACTCATATCAGACATCAGAATCAAGATAATCCTATCCGAAGCAGAGAAGAAAATGCCAAGCAACGTAAGGGTATTAGCGCATCCAGTGCTAAGGGTAGCAGTAAAACAAACAGACACTCACATCCACGTCCAGGGCTTTTTTCTGGTGGCAGAGATCACAGAATATGTGATTATGAAAATTACATCTATTCCGATCAAAATTGAAAACACGACGTTCTGGACATTGGAATCCA